AATTCATCTCTATCGAATCTACTGACACGTTATATGCGTTCATGTTGACTCAGTCTGTACATATTTCGCTAAAACATTTGATAGAGTTAATCATAATATCTTAATTTTGAAATTGAATCATCTGGGATTTCGTCAAGGGCCTATTTTTGTCACTTGTATAATACGTAACTAGTATCTGCTCTCTCAGTATTATGAACTCCATACGAATGTTTACTGCGACATTCTCACCTGGCGCCCTGCTAAAACAAGTTATAATTGGTAATTAGCGCGTAATATTAGAGAACTAAAATAACAGCAGTTTTCTTTGCAATTTTTGATTTTGAACAATATAGAGATATTACTATATAAAACCGTTAGATACTGGTCATTCGTTTATTTATTGTCACTTGTATAATACGTAACTAGTATCTGCTCTCTCAGTATTATGAACTCCATACGAATGTTTATTGCGACATTTTCACCTGGCGCCCTGGTAAAACAAGTTATAATTGGTAATTAGCGCGTAATATTGGAGAACTAGTATAGCAGCAGTTTTCTTTGCAATTTTTGATTTTGGACAATATACACATATTAGTATAGAAAACCGTTAGATACTGGTCATTCGTTTATTTACAGTTTATAATAAAGCAAAAACTGAAATAATTAATGATCATTTTTTGTGTTAATGAAGTTAATTTAATGTATATACATATGTTACAGTCAAAGCGTACATTTCAGCGAATGTATACACTGACTAGTCAATGTATACATTGACGTACGGTTTTAGCCAAAGTATTCACTGCGCATGGAAATGGATACTTTTACTAGTAAATGTATACATTCACTAGACAGTGTATGCATTTACTGCAGTCTGTTAGTCAAAGCTTCAATAAAAAGAAATACTTAAACATCACAATTGAGGAGCTCAGAGAAGAAGTAGTACAAGTGACATTTTTATTAAAAATGAGTTAAGTGCTGAACAGTATATTCACTAATGCTTATGGAGAAATAGAAATAACATAAAAAGTTAAACATTCTACGTTGTTGTCTAAACCTGTACAGATAAGATAGGATAAATGAAAAAACTTCCAGGAATTACTCCCACATGTAGCTAGTTTTTTTTAAGTTTGCAGATGATAATAAATTAATAAAAGAAAGGATTAGCATGTCGAAATCGATAACGAAGAAGACAACAAACTTTGTTTTTATTGCAGTTTTATACATTGTAGATAATATTAAACTAACACTTAATATGTACTACACACTACACAAAAACAATAAATCACAAATACCGCTAAAACATCAGTAGGTACCAAGGTTAGTTAATAGAGAACAGGTTACCACATAAACGAGTATGTGGGCAAAATCGCTTACGGGGGAGGAGAGGTGTCAGCCCCATGTGACGTCAAAATGAGGTTGGTATTACTTGGGAATTTTTAGTAACTTGTAATTTTGAGTTGGTGTGACCGATCAGCTGATGCCTTTAATCTGTACGATCTGTACCCTTAGATCATATAATAAATAGATACCACCATGCCGTGTTCTTTCCCTAGGACAGCCTGTGACGACATCCTCCTGTCACACATCTCTCTCGTGCATGGAGGGATTACAATGAAGCTATCCTTGCCTGATCACTATATGAATTTTGCGCGCTTAAATTTTAGGAAGTATGTCTGAACTAACTTCGGAAGAAAGATGTTGACAGCTTGATTTTATAAATAATTCACAGTAAATAACGAAAGGAATAGTAAATTATTGGGCAGCAATTGTGATCCTTTATGACTACATCACTTAAAATAGGATCTTTGTTCTAAATTCTAAAATTGTTTTTTGTACAACAACTCGAAAGAGAGGTTAGAAGAAACATCTGTCAAAAGCTATTTGTTGCGCTGGTGCGGTACAAGGATGGAAGTGAAATAGACATATACAGATGAAATGCATATAACAAAGATGAAGATGTGGTGATCACACAAGGATAGCATTATACTACTCCCCTTGACGTAGAATACGACAACAGATAGCTTCATGTCTAGTCACAGCTTTCAGTTTGAGTATTGGTATCTATTTATTATATGATCTAAGTCTGTACCGCTAATTCTGACGTTTGGTGTTAGTACTGCGACTCGTGTAACCCTATTTTGCCTTAAATTAAATTTATTTTTGTCTAAGCTAAAATGAAATGTTTTGATATATTACTAGAAAGGAAAAAGTAAACCAGTAAATGCAGATTTTCAGATTTTTTGCATAAAAAAATCAGTTAATAGTGTCACATTTGTTATTTTCAAGTTCTACTGGCAGCAAAACATTTTTCTTGAGGTTTATTAAATTGTTCTTTACACAGGATTGAAATTTGCGAAGTAGAAGCGGTCACTTGATTAAAAGTTTCCGTTTTTAGTGCGTTACTCGAGTATTTAAAACGGGCAATTTTCGCGCCATTTGAGAGCCCCTTGTGACGTATCAATATGGCATCCCAATGTGGCAACCTTATCTATTAAATGACTTTGAGTAGGTACAATGTGAGGTTATGTCACCATGTATTATTTGGTGCATACTTTGACTAAGCGGGAACCGTTAATGTATACATTGACTAGTTAAAGCTCACAGATCGTCCATTGTGAACACATTTACTGAGCAAATCAGTCAATGCATACATTGGCTAGTCAGTGTATACATTGACGGAATGAACATTTTGACTGCAACAGTGTCAGCAGAGAGTAGACAGCGCGTAAATCGTTGTTGTCACGTGGTCTTGGCGTGGTCTTTCTGTTTAGTCAATTAATTGTCAATTAATATAACTAATAATTATTAAATAAGACTTTCTTGATTAAATATTATATTTTATTCCATATTTTGTATATAAACTACAAAACTTTAAATCCAACATAAAACCATTTTAAATTTCGCGGTCTGTCAAATGGTGTTAATAATTTTTGTTTTTGTTAAGTTTCCGCCAGGTTTGCTCCACGGTGACGATACTATATGTTTTCTAGGGGCTATATTTGGTCTAAAGTTATTTAGACAGAACATCTCTTCCACCTGAGGTATAGTATAACATATCCAGATATTTGGAATAATCATAAAATTTGAATTTGAGAATTACATTTTCTTATGATAACCCTTATAAGTTAGAAATCAAGAAGTGGATGTAGTGTTAGAGTAAAAGAAAAGAGGCATGCTTTATGTATGTTTCATGTGAGTTTTTCCGTCATAAAATTTTGAGATGACGTCATCAGCATTTTAACAAGACCATATACATCTATCTGGACAGGTGTAGTGTAATACTAACAAGGACAGTACTTCCAAGTTTTAGGAAAACTGGACAAATGTTTTGCATATTTTAGATAGAATTTGTTTGCGCAAATTTTTCGATGATACAAATTTTTTGGGAAGGCATAAACGAATAAGGCTTGAGTAACAATTTGCCATACTTACGATAACCTTAAATCGTTTGAAAGATTTCAGCAGTCGATTTTGCAATTTCAAAGTTAAACTGTAAAATCTTGTTATAAAATTTTGATTTTTTTTCCAAAAATCTAGATATTGAGGAGATAAATTTAACACGAATTCATAAACCGCAAATGCAGGAGTACATTTGTTATCGCACAATTGCGAGATGATATCATCGGATTGGTGGTGGGGAAGAAAGAGATAGACACCAGACGCCAGACGACAGACGGCACAGAGACAGATGGAATTTAGAGATCATTTTGGTAAACTAGTAGTCCTGAAACATGGAGAACTGATGAAGTTGGAAATATGACTGGGTCGGTAAATTAAAATACTTTCCTTTGAATCGATAAGTCAAAATCGGTAGGTTGTTGCCATATAACTATAAAAATTAAATGTTATTGACAAATCGCGTAACAACAAATGTCGTAGTGGTTGAATCTGTAAAATACAAACAAAAAAAGAAATGAGTGGCTCGCATGTGAGCGCAATTTTTTATAGCCACAAATTCAATTTGTCAAATATTAAAACTATTACGTTGGCTCCATATCATTGTAGCATTATTTGACTTATTGATATTGATTCTTGCCTAGTTTATTGTAAGGGTACATATCTACCAAAAATTAATTATCAAATTCATATACAATGGCAGAATTTAAAGTGGGATAGTAAAATTATTAACTACAAAATAAACTGCCGTTGTAATTAGAAGAAAGGTGTACTGTTCTAAAATGAAATAAGTTACAAAGATTATACCACCACAGCTAAACAACGTCCAAATTTATCGTTCGAATCTAAAACCCATTCAGTGGAATGTAAAATAATGCACAATATGAATTCATTATAATGGCTCTTTACAAAGGCAAGGCAAAACGCGCTGCTAAAGCTGGTTGGTAATATAGGGACCAATGCCCTCCTGGTGGACAATAGCTGAACTGAAATAGGTAGTGCTTGCATTAAAATGCAGCCTTAGAAAGGCAGAGAAAAATGCATCTTCAAAAACATAAATAGAATGCCTCGCTAAGTCAAGGTACGACATTATAGTTATTATATAGTTAATATTCTATAAAATAATCTATATTATAGCGCAACACTTTCAAATAGGAAATAATTCTAACAAGTAGATACGAACGTATTAATATTTTATTTTTTTTTGCAGTATCTCGAAAACCAGACAATTTAGCCCATTTGTTTATAGGAACTTTTTGTTTTAGAATTAAATTTTATTTCTGAAAATGACTTTGTTTTATTTTTGTCCATCTAGGTTTGACAAATCGACCACTGTGCGCCGGCCTGAAGAACATTCGAAAACGTGGCGTGGATTTTATATGCGCATGCGCTACATACTCTAAAGTTGGTAGTTTATACTCGTAGATTTCCATTTCCGTTCCGCGTTCCGCGCTAGTCGATGTCGAGATGTCGTTAAGTGTTAGTTGTTCCTTTCCTGATTCACAGCCAATACACAGTCTTCAAAGTTTCCACGTGTATTTGTAATTAATTATTATTGTTAGTTAGTTATATCTATTATTTAAATACGTAAAACATTTAAAACTTAATCTATCGTACTCAAGTTAGTGTGTTCTAACAACCAAAGAACCCACAAGTCATCTTCTGCCATTTGTGTTCATGTTGCATGATGGAAAACTATCCCAATTTGACGAATGGTAGGTAGATACCTATTAAAACATTAAAATAAGATTTAATGGTTTATTCTTATTATCTAGAGGCCCTACCATCGATTCTGGCATGTGCTTACTATAGGCAAGCCGATATTGTTGCGTCTGCTAGAAGAGCATTAGTACGAGTTTGCTCCAGAGGCTTTGTCGTAGAGGATGTTAAGCCGCTACCGTCAAAAAGTAAGCCATACTGCAGATGGAACGCGGAGTTCCGAATGTTGAACCACCAATTATTACCACAACCAGGAGAGGAACTGAAAATGTTATCAAAACAACTCATGAAGTATAAACCAATGAATTCAAAATTTGTAAGCAGACATCCAGTAAGTGCCTACGGGATTGCGATTATTTATGCTTGTGACCCGTGCCCATGTCAATCAGGTCAGGATTTTGATGACGCCACATTACCACCTAAAATGTGGCCAACTGAAATAAAAAGGTAAACACTGATTTTATGTTATGCTCAATATTTGCATTGTTTTATTTTTAGAAATGACGGGGATCTGAATATCTGCTGGTTATTTCAAGAGCAGTACTTAACTAGATAATTATTTTGTTTCTTAATTTATCACGTCAATTTCTTTGAGAACTGTCAAATTTTGACATTTCACGTGATTTCGCATAAAAATTACCCTAATGCTATTTCGAGCGATAATAATAAAATTTAAATAAATGCTATCGGAATTAATCTTTTTGGACGTTTCATAGTTTAATGTAAATCCTTTAATTTTGCAAACAACTTTACCTGTATTAGTTTTATAACAATAACTTTTTGGACCTGTTGATACCCAGTCAACAATCCATACGTCCTTGCCTAATTCATCGGTCCAATCTCCCAATAGACATCCTGTTTTTACAGTGTTTTTACCATTATCTATATATACAATGCTATCTGTATCATAATATATTACACTTTCTCCTAATATGTCTAACATTTCGTACAATCTTAGTCTAGCATTTGCGGTTGTAAAAGCCGCTATGAATATATTGGTATTGAAATCATTTTCTACATAGCAACCTTTATACTTGTAATCAATTTGTAACATATTTTCGTTTAATTCATTGATATGTATATTATCAAGTCTGTCGTCTAATAAAATCTCATAAAATCTCTTAATATCTGTAACATACTCTGTTGCCCCCATATTTTGTCTTTGACCAAATTTACCCCATAAGGAATTTAAGCAGATTTTTGCAACAGATCTCTTTCCAGGATTATTTTCTATTTTACCCAATTCAATACCTAGAATTTCTTTTACGGCTTTTCTATATTCTTCTTCTGATTCAAAATCATTTCTCCATTCACTTGTCTCTAACTTTATTTTCATAAATGCTTTTACATATCCTTTAAACAAATAACTCGATTTTTGTTCAAAATGCCAAACTTCATCAATAGTTATTATTTTGTATCCTTTTTCAATTGCTTTTTTTACTTCGTTTGTACACCAGGTTCCTCTGACAATTCTTTGAGATTCCGTATGAGTACACTTATCTTTTTGATTATTTAATTTTGCACACAATTGACATAATGAAAATGTTAGTTTTTCACCGCCAGATTTCCTTTTATTTTTAACAGGTAAAACAGGGTGATACAAACCTCTTGGTGGTAAAATTGCACATTTTATTAAACCATACCATTTTGAATTATACGTAGGAGGTTTGAATATTTTAGTAGGATGTCCAACTGGATAATCATCATAACATTGTACTGTTGGATATAAACTACAAATATCTATATATTTCATTTTCTTTCCATTAACTTTTAGTTTTGTAGCATTAGTTCTTCCTCCGAAGAACGCATTTCTAGGATTAAGTTCTTCAATTTCTTTATATTTGCTTTTAATTTGTTTCATTTCTTCTTTATATTTTTTAGATTTAATCCAATTGCATTCCCACATTTCTATTAAATTATAGCCAGCTTTTTTTATTTGCTCGCTTCTTTCTATTGTTTGTTCATTAAGATCTTCCATAGTTGTTTTATTCTTATTATTAATAAAATTTGAACTATAACATTTTGTACAACCATGCCAAAAACAACCGTGATATTGATAGACTGTATTAGTTTTTTGATCAAAGCCATCAACTTTTGATCCACATATTCTCACTTCACCATCGTTTAATGCATGTTTTATATTTGGATTATGAAAACTATTTAACCAAGAAATTAATTGTTGAGAATATTGATCGTTTTTTAGATTATCAACAACTGCAATTGTATCTTTCTTAATATATTTGGATCTATATATAGCCATACAAACACCTGCAATTGTAATGTATCTAAAAGGATCTATGTTAGCTATTTCTAGAAATTGTTTTCTTAATTCAAGACATCCTCTTCTTAATATATCCACATCAGAATTACAATAATCATAAAGTTCATTTTTAAAATCAAATAAATAATTTTCTTTTCTTTTTTGTTTATGCCATTCTAAAAACTCTTGCCTATCTTTTATTTTCATAGAATTAACACCATAGTATTTTGTATTTTGTATTTTTCCAATATAGTTCTGATTTTCTGTTGTATTGAAAAAATGTGGAAAATAACCTTTTTTAAGTTCGTTTAGACCGAATGTTTTGGGGAAGTTTTTTAAAGGTCCTTGAACAAAATTACTACTATCAATAATTCTTAAATTAATTGATTTTATTTCCATTAACATTATTTTAAATCCATTATATATGCAGAAAGGTTTAATACCGTTTTCAACGCAATATTTTAGAATAAAGTAAGAATCATAACCTTTTCCATAATGTGCAATAGCTGTGTATCCTTTATGATCTCTAGAAACTAACCAGTTACAGAAATCTTTGTTAGTCTTAAAAGAATCAACATTACCGTAAAAATCGTGAGCTATAACTAAATTAGGTACGTGTTTGCCCGTTTCTTGCATCGCCTCATAATCAAAGAATAAATATTTTTGTGTGTAAGCGCATTTAGTTGTATTAAATAAAGATCCGCAATTAAGACATTGATAACCGTTTTCGTTCTTCGTCTTCGACTCTGGGCTGGCCCTGCCAGTCTTTCTTGGTACTTTAACACAATTTTCACATTCTTTACATTGATAAATGTGATATTTTACTCTTTTGTTTGTTTTATCAGGAAAAGTTACTGTACAACCTTTTCTATCACAATTTTTACAACCTTTTACTTTGTATTCTTTACCACCGTCTTCGGCTTTGCCTCTGGGCTGGCCCTGCCAGTCTTTTATTTTTGCTTGACAGATTCCACCTTTTTGCCACTTCCATTGCATATAACATTTATGTTTACGTATTTCAACCTCTTTATAACAATTTCTACATTTTTCCCAGTCACATTTGTGTTCTTTACTACCCTCTTCTATCATTTTATTACCTCTTTCAATAATTTTATTACATTTTTGGACCATTTTCGGTTTTGTACAAATTAATCTATTTCCTTCTTCAATCATTTTTTTACCTTCGTCAATCATTTTATCACCTCTTTTGAGTATTTTATTACACTTTAAGCATTTATGCAATCTTTCACAAACTTCAGAATGATTTTCTAAACATTTTTGATTAAAACAGTATCTATTGCATTTTTCGCAATATATTCTTTTAGCAGAGTCTTCTTTGTGATTAGATTCGAAACACATTATGCATATTTTATCCTTTGTTTTGCATTTATGTTTATCTTTGTTTTGATATGGTTTATCACATTTTTGACAATAATAAGATTGACCATAGAAAGCTGTCATACTACCAATTGTATCAAAATGATTTCCATTTTTATATAAATATATTTTTATATCTTTTTCAGGCCCCGAATATATTATGGAATTAAAGCATTCCGCTGCTACGACTTTTATTTGAATATTTAATACTTTTTCTATATTTGCAATATCATGTAAGGTAAAATACTCTTCATTATATTCTCCAAGCTGATTACATAGCTCTTAAGCTAAAGTTGTTTGTAAATATATTTTAATTCATTATCATTATATTCCTTACCGAGTATAATGTTTGTATGATAAGTTAATCCAACAATAACGGCTCTTGGACAACATAATCTATCTTTATTTTTTATTTGTGTTATACTTTTCTTTGTTTTTGAGTCTTCTGCTATATTTAACAATCTTTTCGCATTAGTGGCACCTCTAGGCATATTAACGTTCTTGATAATCCGGTGGAAATAGGTGTCCAAAGATGGGTGTGGTTAAGTACTATATTTAATAAGTCTCCTTGTTTAAATTTTGTTTTCTCTTTTACTGTTTTAATCATATCATTCAATCCTTCTCTAATGATACTAATATTTTTCATAATTATGTCAGAAACATCGGACTCTAACGATTCTTCTTCATCTTTCAATAATATAATTTTATAGTAAACTTTATGTGTATTCCATTTTTTGCTGTATTCAGCTTTTGTTTCTATTATTTTAAATTTAGGTTTTTTTGAAAACTCTGTAAAATAATCATCTTCGATTGCAAAAGGTTCCTCACCAATTTTTTGTAATAATTCTGCTTTCTTCATTTTTGAGTAACCTTTGATATTCTTTTCTTTGGCAAGTTTTCTTAGTTCTTTCAACGTTTTATTTTGAGTCGATTTCTCTAATATTTCCTTCAATATTTCTTCTAAACTTGGCAATTCAATTTCATTAAGAGATGTGTTTAAATTATCATTGTTTACATTATCTGAAATTTGATTCAATAGATCTATTTTTTTACTATTTCTCTTTATGTTTAAGTTTAGTATGCTAGCAATTGATTTTAATTTTTTAATACTAATCCTGCTTAGTTTGTTATGCCAATTACAATTAATTTTACAAGATCTGATTTAGTTTTTGAGTTATATTTTGAGTAGTTCTTTAAACCTTGCCTTCTTGCAATGGTTTTTAATTTTTTCAAATTTAGTTTATTTAGTACAATTTCATTATCTGATGTTGGTGTTAAAAAATATTTATTCATCAATGCTGCTCCGCTGACCAAAGGTGAACTCGAGGACGGAATATCTTTATTATTCATTTGTTCAATTATCTCACCCACTTTTTTTAAATCCCCTTTAGTAAGTTTTACAATTTCCTCAAGACTCATTTTAAGAAGTTCATCTTTCTGTATCTCCATTTATTAGAGAAAAAATTATTCAAAAACATTTATGAATCGAGTTATCCCTTTAAGCCGTTGATATATTTTTCTAATTTTTCATGCCATATATTTTTGAAATGTCTTTTTTTATATCGTGTCGGTACATCCATAAAACATATATTACAAGAACATTTATCATTTTGTCTTTTTTTACAGTCATAACACATGTATCCAATTCCATATTTCTGATTTTTATTTTTGACAAAATTTGAATGAGATTTTATTGTTTTACAAATGGAACATTTTCTTAATAATGACTCATTATTCGTAGATGTTTATTCATGATCAATCTGACAGTTTTTATTCTCCATTTATTAGAAAGATATTATTTCATAATAAATGACTCATAATACTAAAAGGGAACAGTCAGCTAAACAAAAGATAAACATAATAATTAAAAAAGATTACACATTAACAGAGTCTAGTATTCCGTCAGTGAAGAATTTAAATAATATGCGATCAAGACAATTA